AAAAAAAAAAAAAAAAAAAATTCAAACAACACTCGACCTCGAGCACTGAACTATCTTTGGAGCAAGCTATTCTTACCAATTTTTTGATGACAATATGTTGTGATTGTGTCACAACAAGAAAAGTTAATTAGCACAACATTATTTTTATGCTTTGACTTGTTTCCTTCAACAACAAAGGTCTTTTTCAGGTGAAAAAGGGCCAGGTTTGGCTTTGTTTACACTGATTTCTGGTACTAGTGTGGGTTACTTGAATGAGTAAACATGAGTGCCCATAACATGCCCAAGCAAACAAATCTTTGTTTTCCTTTTGAAAAATTGACAATGCTTTCTTTTTCAGTGATGCCAAGGTTAGCTGATATAAAGATAGGTTTTTCTCTCTTCACCAAAGAACTAAAAAAAGGTAGATTTTCAGTGATGCCAAGGTTGGCTGATATAAAGATAGGTTTTGCTCTCTTCATCAAAGAACTAAAAAAAGGTATATTTGCTCCAACTTTTCTTCCACGGCTTTGATGCCGTCTTGCAAATACCTTGGCGCGGATTGTGCTTCTTGGACCTAATTTAGTTCTTCTTCAACGCTCTAAATTCTCAAACCTTTAGCAAATGCAGTAAGGAGGTTCTGAATTGTCCCCTTTCAGAAAAAGTTAACACTAATCTGCATCAATTTGTCACAGAAAGCAAGAAAACCTGGGAACTTTCTTCTTTTATATACTATACATCTGTACTTAACAAAGCAGGAGACAGACACATTACATACTAATGGACTGAGGGTTCATTGGTGCCAGACCCTCATCTTTCTGATTTAATTTCCAAGGTTGGTGGGCAAAGCATTAGGTTCCAAATGCCAAGAACTTTCTGGAATGCCATGGCGTCCGATCCCAGGCACCCTGAAAGCTGGGATTTGATGAGAGAAACGAAGCGTCTCAGTTTTTGAAACTGCCCGAGTCAGATCAAACCCGTCATGTTGGTGCCTTTGGAAGAAAGTAAGATAACCCTCCACCTGCGCCAGTCTAGCTATCCTCATTCTTTCTCCTTCAGAAAAGTCAGATAGGATTTCAACAACCCAATACTGGTATGTTTCATAATCAGTGTGCTTCCCCTCATTATTCCAAGTTCGGTACACTGACCAAATCTCTCCCTTCACTGGGTAAATTTTGAATATGGGCCTAGTTGTACTTTGTTGGCAATTAACTTGATGGGATAACTGTGACATTTCCAGGTTGACAGTGGTTCCACTAGCTCTAAATACTCCGCATGCAAGGTGTAAGTTTTTATCCATCCACGTCGACTCATAATCAAAACTGGGCAAAGGTTCCAAGAATGTTACACAAACTTGACTCCCAGAGATCACCTTGTCCAACTGTATGTATTGCCGAGGCATCAAGTCTCTCCCACAGTACACAGCCCACACCTGACCTGTAGCAAAGTAATTTGGTGACCAATTAGGCCCCAAAATTTTGCTTTCTATACATGATGTCATAGTAGGAAGCTGTTCAACAGGGTTAGTAAAAAAAGAACTTTCAGAGTTCCCCTCCTTTGGTGTCACTTGACTGTCCATATCTTGTACTGTATCATCTGGCAAGGCCAATTGGTCAAGTTCGAACATCCCCCTAACAGCTCCGTCAATCTCTCCACCAGTAAACCTATATGCTGGCACATTGTGAGATAACATGTAAAAATTATTTGGGGAGATGTGAAGCACGACAGGATCTCCTTCCTCTAATCGTTGCTGAAAGACACTCTTGAAACCATCCACTTTCACCAAACATGCACAATTTGCACCCAAATATTTCGAGAAGTCAGAGAGGATTTCAACCAACTTAAACTTGCAACATTTAAGAATGCCAGGATCATAGGACCATTCATCAAGGTTCCAATCCTCGTACAATGCCCAAACTTCTCCTCTCCTGGGATATATCTCAAACTGTTCCATTGTTGTTCCATGAACCCAAGAGCAAATGTAAGAAAATACCAATGGTGAGACCACATTTTCACTCATATCTAAATCCAAACAAAAGGATCCGCAGGCAACAGGTAAGCCAGCTTCACACCATCTTCTCTCACCTTCACCAACAGGGACTGGTTTCAGCCATGTAACACTTACTGCAGATTCCGCAATGTCATTAATTTGAGCATATCGAAAATTTTGAGGCTCAGTTGACTGATAATGAGCTGCCCATATTTGCAGTGTTTTAAAATGCTCAGATTTCCTATTTTTCCCAAACTCATAAAAGTCTTGATCAAGCCTTTTTTCGGGCACATACCATGATGGATTTCCACCAGAACTATTTTGATACAATACTGGTGGTGAATTAACATCATTCACAGGCATATCTATGTTCTCTCGTGTGTTCCTTTCAGAGTTCAGATCAGAGGAATAAGAACTAGGTTCACTGAGGCTAATATTAACATGATTTTCCTTCATGTTGTGATTGGCTTGTAGCTTGGATCCCAAATCTCTGACCCTATCTGTTGGCAAACCCATTTCATTCCTCGCATCCAAACCTTGGACAAAAGAAACCTTGTCATGTGTGGAAGAGATTTCAGCAGTGATTCCTCTCTCCTCACCAGGGATACCATGACAGGTTGATGTCTGCATATCAAATGATTCGTATCCCTCCCAACTAGTACCTCGCTTCATATCAAAATCAAAGCGCTTACCTGGGTCAGAAAGCATAAAGAAGGCATCCACTACAAATCTAAGCGCCAACTCAGTGCCGGGAAACTTATTCTTGATAGGTTGCAACAATTTCACAAATTTCTGGTACCGACATCTCACATCACATAATGTAGAGGAGGGCATAAGCTGAAGAACCCAGTAATGATCAACATCATAAAAAGGAATATTGATTCTGGCAGCTGATAGTATGTCACATACAGTCAGCATAGGAACAATATGGTCTAGCGCTGGAAAAAGCTGCTGGGCTTTTAGCAGTTTTTGCCTGGCATTCATGTAGTCCCCACCAATAATCATTTTTGAAGCAGCTTCTTTTTCTCGAAGAGCCTCCAACTGATGGTGGTACATCTTTCAATTCCCAACCACTTTCGATACTTCTCAGAATCTCCAAATTAGCACTTCCAATTAATCCAAAACCTCTATTAGTTGTAAGCTTATGTAAAATCTTTAGCTCCTGCATGAGAAGGTCCTGGAATAAGGATAAACAAAGGGAGGGACAGGGTGACTGTTCCTCAGTTAGACATCCTCTTCCTCCACACCACCTGAACCAAAATAAAAAATAAAAAACAACAAGAGCGAAGAAGTACTCGATAAACCAACCTTCATTAGGAGCTGAAATTTTGAACTCAAATAGAAGTCATATAACACGGCAAGGAGAATAAGATTAATGTCACGAAGGGATCACCCCACAAATGTCGAAAAAACAGTAAAACTCTGCTTTAAAAAGATATTGCAATGTAATATTAACCAGATGCTGTGGAAAAATAAAAATACATTTCAGCACTTTGAAAACACATTGTAACATAAATCATTACCAGATGTCATGAAATAAAGCATTAATCCCCCCCCACCCAAAAAACAAAATGCCAATAGGCTAAATTTCTTTGCCTCAATTTGTGTGGAGATTGATTTTTTTTGCAATGTTTAGTCAGTATAATGGTGCAGTGACTTTTCACTGCAGACCAGGAAAAAAAAACAGAGGGATTTTCACTCAAATAGCATCATGTAATGGCGTATTTATCCATCCACCCCCACCCTTTATTTTTTATTTTTTTCACTTAAATATTTCCATGTAATCACATTGAAGTTATATCAAACAGAGTAAGATTACCTGCAGATTTTTATAAATATCACCAACATATAATAAAATACAAAGCTAAACTATATAAGTATCATTGACCATTTATATTTCTACAGCAACCGTTGCTAATATAGCCATTTTCTATTTCAAAAATTCCTTCTAAGTTGATCATTCAATGTTGTGCCTAAACTACACCTGGTTTAAAAGATTTTTTAAATTCACAACTCATAGAACATCAGTTTTTCCATTAAAGATAATTATTTTCCTACAGATTGTTGAATAAGAGGAATCTAGCATAGTTCAACATACTTTCCTAAAAGAAAGATAATAAGAAACCAGTTTCAACTGATTAACGAAATGGAAAGGTAAAAACCAAACAGCCTCAAAATCTTTGATCCCATACCCATTTTAAGCTGTTGCTACAGAGACTTTTTACTCATATTAAAATAACCACACAAAAAAATACAATAAGAAATGCAAATAAATTTACCTTTTGAAGCTACAATCTTCATACAGAGAGAGAGAGAGAGAGAGTGAGAGAGAGGTACTTCCCGAAGTTGCAGGACTGGGCTTAATGCTCGTGTGGAGTAATGCAGTTTTGAGTGGAAAATGGAGCATCTTTACTCTTCGGGCGAATTGCACTTTATCCCCCAAAAAATTTTAAAAATTTTACATTATATTTTAATGTATTAGAAGTGTTATAACGTAACGTTATCGTTAGCTTCCGTTGTTCTTTCCATCGATGTAAATGGGGGTAGTTTAAATAAAACGAGGAACAAAAACTAACATTAGATAGGATTGATAATCGAGTCAAACTACTTGAGTTCCATTCAAATTCAACTTGTGTAAGACTAGGCTCGTGTAGACGAGTCGAATTTAAGTAATTTTTTAAGTTCGCATAAAAAAATGAATCCAAATGGCTCAGTTCATCCTTGCAAAACTCGGCTCAGATTCGAATCGTTTTGAGCTCGACTTTTTTTTTGAACGAGTTAAATTTGAATAATTTTTTAGACTCATTTAGAAAAAATAGTTCAACAAGCTTGATTCGAACTCGCAAAATTCGACTCGATTATGAGTCCCAATAGTAGGTTCACATTGCAATAATTTTAATAAATTAAAGATACAATATAAAAAATTTAATTATTAAAAATATAAAGTAAAAAAATTTTAAATCATTTAAGATATAAAGTGTAATTCCACCCTACTCTTCTTCAGAAATGGGATGTATTGTGGGCTACTTCTCTAAAAATAAAGAAGAAATGACACGTGGACCTTGTGGCCTAGCTTGAAAATATCTATTCGTTTTTAACGTAACGATAGCAATAGCAAAAAAAAACCGTTAACGATAGAAATGTTAGGATTTTCATATAAATCAAAATAAGTGTATTTCAACATTTTAGTGTTCTCAAGTATTTTGGTATATTTTGATATATTTTAATCAATATTTTAAAAATAAATTAATACATTTTTTTGTATATTTGTATCTTATTTTTTTTAAAATATTTACGAAATTTAATATTACATTTTTTTTCACGTTTATCAAAATTATGCACCAAAACAAGCCTACGAGGCATTTCAATGTCCTATTAAGACTGTTTGGGTAAATTCAATGCGTATAATTATAAACAAAACATGATTTTTTTTTTTTATCATTCCACTGATTTTCTAACTTTGTTTTTGTTATAATATTACTTTTAGTTTATTGCTTAATCTATCATTATCTATATTACTTTAAAATGTCAACATACTTAAAAAAAAAAAAAAAATTTTTACCTCCAAACAATAGTATTAGGACATTTTTAATAATAACCTCTATTAATAATAGTACATGAAAAGTAATAAGAATATGTGATTTTCAATAATAACCTTTAAAAATATATAATGACATCATTAAATTAAACTTTTTATATTCTCCATTCAATCACAATAGTGAAGAGAACTTTTGAACTTGTACATCAATGCTCTAATTAATGTTGATATATCCTACCTTTTATTATCTCTTTCTGCAAGCAACTTAAGAGTTAAGAGGCTCCTCCCATTCAAAGCAGAGGCTTATAGCCTTATACGTTAAACACACCACTTTGAGGAGCATGCCTTATAGCAACTTTGATACATATGTTTGTTGGCTTTAGCTCATGGGTGGTTGCTTGGTTGCTTCAAACAGAGGGTTCACAGGTTAGATACATATCACAATTTCTATTGACTTGCTGAATTAGTTTGGTCTGGATGTTTTTTTCTTTGATCTTTGTCCTAATAATATGTTGTATGGTTTGTGAAAATTTTAGACATTTGCTTTCCTTACCATATTGTTGTTTGTTATGCAATATGCATCCTATGTTTTGCCCTTGAGGAATACATGTTTTGTGACAAAGAACTCCAATTATTTGGATTTTGGTCTGGGTTTTATTGATGTTGTTTGCTTTTTTAATGTGTATGAGTTTATAAAAATTTTATATTTCTTGGATCTTTAATGTATTTTAGTATGTTAATCAAGGATATCTTTACCCTGACATGTTATGATTAATACATTTTAACTCTTATCAATAACCTGTCTTCTTGTGATGAATAACATTTTTATGAGTTTGTTAAGAATTTGCCCAGTATGTCATTATTGCTCTATGTAGTTGACGTCGAAAAATAGTTATAAGCAACTGCTTTATGTTTTGAAGGTTCCAAAAATGTAGTAGTTGCTAACTTATATTTTTTTCCCAAATTCATGATCAAATGTTGATTGAAGCAGGGATCTAGAAAATAAGATCACATATACAGTTCGAGTGATTATTATTAGTGACAATAGAATGCAAAATTGTTAATAAGAACCAATTAGATGTCATTTTTTTTTATAAGAACCAACAAGATGGATTTTATACTCGGCTGGTTATGTTTTCACCATTTTGTGTAAATGATTTAATTTTTTAAGCTCTTTATCGTTTAGACGTGAGATTTTTGTTGAAGGCCAAAATATTCCAAAGTCCATTTGGATGTTCCAAGAGGCAAACTTTCTAGGTATACCATGGACCGCAAAACATTATTTAATGATACTAGCTATAGCACTGGGAGTTTCATGCTATTAGCTGATTGATTTGTATGGTTTCGTAGATGATTGCCTCAAGGTCATTGCAAGATTGGTTTTTGTTGAGGTAACACCAGTTCAATCTCAAGGCTGGCGATGTGACTGTCATTGGTGAGACTGATTCTGGAAAGACTCGAGCTTTTGTATTGCATAGTTAGGTTCATGCGGGTGTCTTTATTTCTTTTTGTGAAAATTAATGTTTTTTTATCTAAGTTCTATAGTTATTTTGTTTTTAATTCTTTTTGCCTAGTTAATGAAGGGCACCACTTTGAATATCTTTGACCTCTTTTTGATGTTATTTTGTAGATTTTGTTGTTTAGCTCTTGGCAAGGATGATCTTTTATAAGAAATACTAAGGATAACTCATGTCTGAAGGCATGGTACAACGTAAACCAACAAGTTAATTTAATTTGATTTAATTTATGCAATTGAAATTAATATAATCCCCAAATAATATTTGTAAACTATTTTGGCAAAATTTACTCTAAAAATAAGACCCCAGAAAAATCTTAACCTATCTACAAAAATCAGAGTCTGGTGAATGCATTATAGAATAAAATCAAAGCTAAAAATTCAACTTAGTTTCCTTTGAAAATAGAAGACTGTAAATTACTAACCTATATGCAGAACTGAAAAAACAAACGAAACAATCCCCTAACATCAACAATTCATACCCAACTACCAAAACAATCAGCAATTTCACATCAAACCAAATATATTCTCATAAACGTGAAACTAGTTCACCATACTAAACTCATGAGTAAACAAAAAATATCCTCATAATCGTAAAATTAGTTCATCATACTGAACTCAAGAGTAAACAAAAAATCACGCAAATTCGATTAAATTGATATAATAATTGTCCTTGTCTAAAGACACGAAATAACGAAAACTTGAATTAGAACTTGAAGAACATTATTGTGCCTAAAGGCACTTTGCAAGCTAAAATAAATGGTTTAAGTTAAAATAATTTTTTCAACATTTGCTTTAATTAAATAGATTAAAATCAATCAAGCCCCCACTAATTTTTCAAAAATTTTGGCAAAACTTCCTATAAAAATAGGAGCTCAAGAAGATTTAAACTTAACTACAAAATTCGCAATCATACAGAACAATCATAATAATACCTCGTACCACCACAATCATCACACATCACAACTTAATTTCATACTCAACCATCAATTCACATTAAAA